TTGGGCAACGTCGCCCCTGCCAAAAGCCTGACCCTGATTTCTCAGCCTGTCGCTTACATATGCTTCATCCTCATCGTCGTACTTCACATTCACCTTCCTTCCGCCCCATCTACTCCTCTACTCCTCCCACTCCTCCTCGCAGTCTGCCCAGCTTGTCACAAGTAATGGAGATGGCACGGGAACGAAATATTCTGACTTCAAAGCCAATCAGAAAAATTTCGTGGCAGTGGCACCCTACCTCCAACAACTCAACAAACATGAATCATCCACCTGGTACGCCGCCTGTTTGATCCTCACACATCCCCCATTATCCTCATCCTCTTCAGCCTCCTCCTCGCTCTCCTCGATTTGTATCATGGTTGCCGCCACCACCACCACTATGGACTTCATCCCCCCTATCCAGCAATCCGCATCCTCCCTCATCATCCCCCCCGCACCCCACCATCATCACCACCATCACCACTAGCCTCTCGCCCACCGAGCCCCCGTGCCACACCCACACACACACACACACACACACACACAAACACACACACACACACACACACAAACACACACACACACACTCACGCGAGCGCACACACATACATACTTATACACACACACACACTCACACACCTATACACATGCGCACACACACATTCACACACACACACATCATGCCCACATCAGATTCTCCTGCGGTCAACGACATCACCAGCATCATCGTAATCATTCAACTCATCACCATCGCCATCACCGCCACCATCAGCACCATCGTCATCAACATTATCGTTATCGTCATCGTCGTCGGTGTCGTCATCGTCCCCATCGTCGTCTTTGCCATTGCGACCATCGTGGCAGCCGCCGTCGTCAACAACAACATCAGCATCATGATCATAATCAGCAGCAGCATCACCAGCATCAGCATCATCATCATCTTCATCATCATCAGCATCATCAACAGCATCAGCATCAGCATCATCATCAGCAGCAGCAGCAGCATCGTCATCAGCAGCAGCATCACCATCAAGATCATCATCAAGATCAGCATCGTCCCACGCCGCCTTCTCGGGGTGGTCACCCTGGCTCTGCGCGCACTGCCCTCATCCCCCCTTTCCCAGGCCTACTCCCGAGGTTCCTCCTGGTCACCATCATGGTTTCAACATCCTCCTCAGTATCCGCGTCAGCATCCGCGTGTCCCTCCCCAGTATCGTCATCATCATCAGCAGCATCATCAGCAGCATCAGCAGCATCATCAGCAGCAGCATCAGCATCATCACCATCATCAGCATCATCAGCAGCAGCAGAATCAGCACCATCATCATCATTAGCATCCTCATCATCCTCATGATCATGATTATCATCATAATCATCATCGGGAGCATCATCATCCTCAAGATCATCACCACCATCATCATCAGCATCCGCAGAATCATCATCATCGTCGTCGTCATTACCATCACTATCATCGTCATCAAGATCATCATCCTCAGCATCAGCATCCTCATCAAAATCATCATCACCATCATCATTACCACCACAATGGCCGTCACCATCATCATCATCAGAAGCAGCAGCAGCAGCATCAGCATCGTCATCGTCGTCATTATCAGCATCAGTATCATCAACATCATCATCAACAGCAGCATAATCCTCGGCATCATCATCATCATCATCATCATCATCATCATCATCATCATCGTCATCGTCATCGTCATCGTCATCGTCATCGTCATCAGCATCTTCATCATCATAATCAGTATCATCATCTTCATCATAAGCATCATCGTCGTGATTGTCGTCGTCATCGTCATCGTCATCATCATCATCATCATCGTCATCGTCATCGTCGTCTTCATCATCATCAGCAGCATCATCATCGTCGTCATCATCATCAGCATCAGCATCATCATTAGCAACAGCAGAAACAGCAACAGCAACATCATCGTCAACAGCAGCATCCTCACCGTCGCCCACCCGACTCTCATTACCAAAAGAACCATCATCATCACCACGCTCGCCGTCACCACCATCATCGTAACAAGCAACCTCTTCATCATCAGCAGCAGAATCATCATCAGCATCATCAGCATCATCGTCCTCATCAGCATCATCTGCATCCTTATCTTCAGCAGCATCATCATAAACATACTTCACGGCAGCTTCCTTATCGTTGTCCTACTCGTTCTCGTCCACTTGTACCATTCGATGCAGAGAGGGGCAATCGGAGAAAGCTGTTTGCGCCTCTTGGAACTTCTGCACAGTTTCGCGACCCGCATGCTCCTCGAGCAGATTCACGCTCTCCTTGATGACCATCAGGTGCTGCCACGGAGGGGATTACAATGATCATCCAACTGCTTCACCCCTTATTCCTCTTCCTCCTCCTCCTCCGCCTCCTCCTCCTCCTCCTCCTCCTCCTCCTCCTCCTCCCCTCCCCTCACCTCCCCCTCCTCCACTCACTAAATCCTCCTCATCCTCCTCATCCTCCCCATCTCCCTTGCCCCCCTCCTCATCATCCTCACCATCATCACCTTGTGCGCCCACCTCCGGTTCTCCCCCCTTCCTTTCATTGTCTGGTCCGCGATAATACATGTTTTGGTTAGCTCAATGGTTGAGGCGTAAGAACCAAGTAACGCAACAACGCCATGCAAATGTTTACGATTGTGTCTTCACTTGGGCAACCAGCGCCTGGGGCGTGCTGGAAGTAGTCCCATGGCCTGTATCATGATAATACTCAAAATTAAATTGCGGCGGAAAGGATGAGATAAGAGAGGAGCCGAAGTTTGACGCTGCTGGGGCGCAAAAAAAATGCATTCGGAACGAAGAACAAACGACACACACACACACACACACGGGACGGCCCATCTGCTACGCTGTGAGGCATGTCCTGCGTTAAGCTTTTCCCGCTTGTGATTGCCTGACACTGCTCAGCTCTCCGCCTTAGGCGCTCTTATACACGCCTGACAAGAATGCTGGGAATGAAACATGCTCGTAAAGTAAATACGGCGGTGGCCCAGCCGCCAGTACAGGATGTAGATGCGCTGTGCACCAACAACCAACACTGTGACACTGAGAAGTCATGCCAACGCTTCTGCCCGTGGTCACGCGTCAAATCCTCTCAGTCCAACAAGTTCTTTTCTTAGTGGCACCCCTCCCCTTCGCTGTCCCAAAATATGATTGTCGATGTTCTCTGTTCTAGCTTAGCTGCTGTACTGGTTGAAGTCCGCACGAGGGGGGGCGAGGGGGGGTGGGGGGGGGGGGGGAAATCAGCCGATCCCCCTTCCAAGAATCACGATGCCCGCCGAATTCCTGGGGGCCTTGGACAAGTAAAGTACGACAGACTCGCGATCTCCAGCAATCCATATGCAAATGCACCATGCTCGCGCTTTCCGAGGCCACAATCCCTCATGTAAGGTAAGGCACGCTCGCGCCCCCGAGGCCACAATCCTGCGCACGCTACGACGCCCTCGCGCTCCCGAGACCGCAACCCCTTCCAGCTGTACGACATGCTTGCGTCCCCGGGGCCACGAACCCGCCCGACAGCACAACCGAAGGCCGACCGAACCGGCAGTGAAGCCGAAACCGACCGAAGCCAAGAGGCCGCAGGCAGCCTGGAAGGGCGCAGCGGCGCAGCGAAGGCACGACCACCGACCGAAGCGAACCGACCGAACGCAGCCGAAAGCGACGCAACCAAACCGACCAAATCGTGGACACCCTGGAGGCCTCTCGACTCGACCTCCAAGATCCTTTCCGAGGGCGCCTAACTTCGCCCTTCGCGCTGCGCGAAGCGCGAGAGAGCGAATAACTTCGCGCTGTCGCGCCGCCCCCCAGGGGAGAAGAGGAGGACGAGGAGGCATCGGAGGCCCTCGAGGGCGCCCTCGTGCAGGATCGTCGGTGGGTAATCGGTTGAACTGCTTGCGAGCTCATCAGCCAGCTCATCTTGCGGGGGGCATCTGGAGCTCCTGTGGC